AGTCTCATATTTATTTACCACAGAGATACTCTGGCGCAGGGTAACTTAACACATCTCATTCATTTTATAATGCAAAAAAAAAAAAATTATATCATCTCAAGAATTATCTAACGTGTTCTCTTCAAATACTATAATAAATCTAAAACGATGTATAAAAGAAATTAAACAAATAAAAAATAAACAGTTTTCACAGACGATTCGGCGCTGCTAACTTAATACGCATGTGCTACTCGTTAAACATTCTCCTCTATACGAAACAGACTGACGACAGTATTTTTGTTGATATGAAACACTTATTTTTTCGAATTTCATTAGAGATGTATTTATCATTCAATTAATTCAGTCTCACTTCGCGGTAAGGCAAAAATAATAAAAACACAAAACATCTTCATTAAAATTTGAAAGATATAGAAAATCATAAAAACAAAATACATTTGAAAAAAAAAATTTTTTTTAATTTAAATTAAAATTACAGTTTCTTCGCAAAAACAAGTAATTCAGCCAGCAAGCAAGAACACGGGTTTTTCGGTGCACAAAACAGGAAAGTTTGCTTTTGGTCTCACTCGTCAAAAAGATACTGAAGGCGTAGAAACTGATATAGTCTGTTGTGGATGCAATGCTGAGTTAATGTATGGGATAATTTAATAACTTAAATGATAATTTCAGAAAAGATTAAGCATAATTTAATTCGGAATAATAAAAAAAGACGTTACTTTGTTCTTGCGAAGCTTAGTTTCTCTAGATTGGCAACAAATCCGCTATTTTGCAAAGTTTGAAATGTAAACATACATGTCCGCCATCGCAAAATTCATTAGGCTTAGCGGCACTTAAACAACTTTTAAATTGTTGATAATTCTAAAACTATTGCATGCATATTTACTAACGGCATAAAAATCTTTGACCGGAAGATTAGAACAACATAATTCAATCATTTTTAAAGCAAAATATGCACAATTTACAAACATATAAGAATAAAGAAACTGAGCTTACTTATATATACTTTTAGGGCGGCCGAATGCAACCAAAATGGGAGGTGCACATGTACATGTTATAGCAGTCCTATATACAAAATTTCAACGTCCTGAGGCTATTCGCTTTTGAGTATGTACGTACGTGTATGTACAAACACCACGAAAAAAATATCTTCTGAATCCATTTTAAAGCAGTTTTACAATTCGTTTGGGAAAAGAAGAGTCCTTTTTTCTATCCTTAAGTACAGATGTCACGCAAAAAACATCGTTAAATTGCATTCGATAGCGGTCAAAATGAATATTTTCGTTGAAATATGGTACCCGGAACTTTTCGTGATTACAGTACTTCCTTTACTTCTTAGAAGGAAGTAAAAAGAGAGCAAATTATGGAAATGCTTGAACGAAGTAAGTTTGAGCCAGAGCGAAAGTGGATAAGAACAGCCAAGTACTTGGATTTAGAGACAGCTTTACTTGTTTGGGTTCAGACAAGCAAGATCTCTGAATATCAGGACCTTTAATGCTAGAAAGAAGCAATGAACTTGCCAAACAAATGGGTTTTACATTTTCTGCAAATCCAGGATGGTTGGAACGTTCCAAGAAAAGAAATGGCATAGTACTAAAAAATATTTGTGCAAGTTTTACCGACCATGACAGCAAACTGGTTTCAGTCTACGTTGCTTTGAAAACTTAAAGAATATGGGAATGTCTTAAAGCAGACGAAATGGGTTATTTTTCCAAGTTCCTCTTACGATTAGCTCGCAGTAATTACGTGCCGTGTTCCGGCTGTCTTGATTTAGATGCTACTAAGAGCGCTGAAGGTAGAGAAATGCTTGAGCTGGGCGGTGCAGGAAGCTGAGATGTAGAAAGGGGTGTGACCAAAGTCACGTGAGCTCTGAGATGACATCTGATGGGTGTTGAAGTATTCGTCAAAACGTAACACATCATATAGAATACATGGGTTATTTTACCGCTGCTTACCCAATAAAACTTTTTGTTTAATTGACAAATGTGTTCAGGAGAGAAAATGTCTAAAGAACGGTATTGGTAGGATGCAATTCGGATGGCTCTGAAAAACTACTCTTATTTGTTATTGGCAAAAGTTTGAAACCGCGGTGTTTTAAGAATGGAAGAACATTACCAGTAGAATATACAGCAAACAAAAAGGCATGGATGGTAGCTACGATATTAACCCTTTCCGGCACGCTACCTTTTAAAGTTGGAGTTTTGATTTAAAAAAAAAATGTAGGCAGTCTAATTAGGCCTAGAGGAGTACACAAGTAAAATTTTGTGAAGATAGCACTTATCGTTTAATTCTGTAGGTGTGCCCAAAGTGGGCACAGTGATTAAATAGGGCTTCGAAAAGAGTGCTGAAATGAGCATTGTTGTCAATGAACTGACCAATGAGATGCGGATAAACAAAGAATACAGACTCTCAGTTGTCCTAGATGATCGGTGAGCCAGGTCTGGGCACACCTAGGGTTCGTCGTTTGATTTTAGGCAAGATTTCAAGGTAAAAATTTAAAACTAATATAGAATGAGGAAATTAGCATACATCCCAAAACAATAGAAATTTCTTTTCAAACAGTTCCTTTTATACCCTAAAAAAGTCCGGAAGTTTTCTTTGAAAAATGAGGGGCTTAAACAACTAAACATGTCTAAAGTATATGGACTGGTTTGTGTTGAGCTGCCATCTACTATAAATAAAAAAGGTTCAGCGTAACCTATGGTAACCTATCAATCCTTTTTCATTCAGTTTTTCTGGGCGTACAGAAGGAAATTTCTAGAGACCGACCCTGGACACACTGTGCCGCAAAGAGTTAACCGATTGGATCGTTAAGTTAGATGGCGATTCTTACAGGAAAAGCGTAAAGCTGCAATGATAATTTATAATTCTCCGGCTCACCCCAACGTTGCATTGAAAGCTGTAAAGCTTATCCTTTTGCTCTGAATGCAACAAGTGTCTTGCAGCCTTGTGATCAAGAGAATATACAGAACATGAAATCTTTCTACCGGAAGCAATTCCTTCAAAAATATTTACTCGCAATCAATGAAGATTACTCGATCAATTTATTAGATGATCTTCATATGTCTGCATGGAAGTCAGTGACTCCAAGGACAATTGAAAATTGTTTTCGTCATGCAAGATTCTCAAAAGTATCAGATTCTTTAACATCAAAAGAAATGGAGAAGGAGTATACTGAAACTTAGCCGACAGTTAAAGAAATTGTGTGGAAAAGTTTATGTATTATTGGACTGCCCTACTGTATCATCGGAAGAATTCGTTTCAGTAGTGATGATAATGTGTATACAGCTCCAATTATGGCAGACAGAGACATTTGGAAGTTTGTTCAAAGCTAACAAATATCATTGATGCAGATTCCATCGACGAAAATGAAATGAATAATGTTGCTTCTATTCCTACGTCATCCGAAATGAGGAACATCATGAAAAGTAAGCATAATTATTTAGATGCACAGTTCCAATGGTGAAATAAGTAACAAAATGGACGATTTCTAACAAAGTTTTGAAAATTTGACGCTAAAAAAAGCCAATACAAAGAAAAATAACAGATTATTTTCCAAAAACTCAATGTTTTGTTTTTCAAAAAACTTGAAAATTTTGTATTAAATTTCCTTAAGTTCTTGATTATTTCATTTTTATTAAATACATGCATATATACATATCTATGTAAATAAAATGTATTCTAATAAACTTAATTTTGTTGAATATATGTTTTTTTTTGCAATAACCTTTAACACGAAAAATTATTTCAGTCTCCTATGTTTCGTTTTAAATTATTTTCATTATTTTCACCGTACGTTATAAATCTCCTTCATAGCTACCTTCTTACTCTTAAAGATTGACCAAATGGTATATGGTATGATATGAGGGATGCAGCCCGACACTCCTGCCAGACTTTACGATGCCCTGTGGCCATTTTGCGGGCTGCGTCAGAAACCAAATGGTATATTGTTGTCAAAGACAAAAGTCTGCGGCAATTATCTTCCGAAAAAGAAATTCCAAGAGAACCCCAGATGCCCTCTTCCTCTTCCACGAACCAATAGAATGCACTAGCAGCACTACCTACCTTGCAGTAAACCTCGACAGAAAGCCTACCTTCAAAAATTATTTCAAGTAAATTCGCGAAAAATTTAATTATACTATTTGCAATAGATTCCCTCCTCTTGAACGCGACAGCAAGCTCTGCATTAAAAACAAGGTTGTATTGTGCAAGTCTGTCCTTCGCCATGCTCTCCTCTGTGCATCTTCTATTTGGGGGCCCAAGCTGCTAAACCCAAACTTGACACAAAACCATATTAATGACTACATTAGAAACAGGCGCCATTAATTTCTACCTTTCAGGCAAACACCACCAAAATCCAATTATCTGCAATCAAAAACACAGGCTCTTTCCACCGGAAAAACACTTTTATCCTGCTAACACTCTGATCATTTAATTCTCTTTTTCACCTCTTCTACTTTTGCAGACTTCGAGTCCCCATCTCTAATCCGTTTCGAGTTTTTTCTCTAACATTGTCTTCTGCTTGAATACCACAAATTTTAAATCAGATTTCCTTAGAGAATTTTCTCACCTGCTTTGCTGTTTCTCTTAAATGTGTTCTTGCTATTCAACTGATGAATTTTAAAATATACTTTGAAAATGTACGTAACAAGGGAAGCTTCACTCCCCATTACTCCATTCAACTTGTGATCAAGTCAAATGATCTTCGAAAATAAGTAATAGTTTTGCTTAAATTAAATTAATATGCAGTCTTCAAAAACAAAATGTAACTTTTAAATGTTATAGGTAGATATATAAATTTTTTTAGAAAACTAAATTTTGTTTAAACTTAATATATCATGTCAAGAAAAGATACTTTAATATTAACCAAAAATAAGACAATATACAAACGGATTGCAATTAAGAATAAGAACATTTTTAACATTGGACCTATTTCACTAAATCCGCTAAAGAGAAAACATTGAAGTAATTCTATAAGTTCTGTAACCAAGACTATGGATACTCACCCAACCACCTTGCTCTTCAACCCATGGACATATCTTATCAACTATGAAACTTGTTGTCCATCTATAAACTTCTATCGCAGAATCTCTTATTGATCGTATAGCTCTCAGAAATAAGTGCTTACAAAAGGAGAAAAATGCAACTATGGTATATCCATTGACACCATCTTTGAACACCCCACGACCAACATCTATCAATGATTGTCGATTGAAATTATTCAAACTAATCTGAAAATAAAATCAATGCTATCAGTTTATTTACTGACATTTTTAAAAAATGTAATTTTGCATTTGTGTCATAATCTAAAGTAGTTCTTATAAATTCTCAAATATCTGAAAGCTGTAGTCTCATTAATTTTTGTTGAATCTAGTAATACGTTTAGCTGTTTTATGACGCCATTAATAATAAAAGCTTCATGTGTTCCTCTGGACTCATTAAATTTTACAAGATTTGCTTCTAGCAGAAAAGTTTTCTTTTTTAATTAAGGAAATATATGTTTGAAATTTAGACATTTACACCTTACAAACGACAACAACAACTCCATACATTTTGAGCAACATACACAGTATTTTTCATAAAGAAGCCCTTCAAACAAGCTTAACCTTTTCATATTTGGTTAACGATAAAATATTGTATTGAGAAATATTAAAAAAATTTTTGTGCCATTCAAACGGTGCTTATATTATAGTCAGTGAATTTCGAACACATTTGCTACGTACTTAATACGTATCATTTGCTTTTCTTTACGGTAACTATACTCCTGCCCTTTGCGGTTGTTTATGTGCTGACAGAGTTCTGTACTATGGTTGTCTCGGAACTAGAGATATAAGAGACGAACCTGGCTGCAATAGTAACCTATGGCCAGGAGGTAAACCCCTAACATCGATAGCTCAAAGAGCCACAGGGTCAGACTTACTTAATTACGTGACACCAGCTGAGTTGCTGTCGGCTTATCATATGAATAACAGCATTTGCCATTAACGTCTCGGAGAGAAGCCAACTTTGGGATCGTGATCTGATCCTCCCCGTGCGCGAATGGCAAACCGCACATTGAGTTTTCAGTGTTACGAATTTCGCTTGGCTGCTCATGGTGTACCGTTGGTGGGAAGGAAATACTGGCGACTAAGGGGGGGAATAAACAACATTACACAATTTATTCATGTTGTTTTTACTTTTTTTTTTACAATTGCAATACGGAAATTTGTTGTGTGCTTATTGCATGTGCTTCTCGTGCACCTGGGTGCATGCATTCGGTTTATTTTGTTCATAAACATTACATTTAATACAGTTACTTGACTTTAATTCAGCGTTTAAACTAGTAGATTTATTCCTTATTTGTGAAAGTATATATGAATAGAAAGTATGGTTATATTCATTGCTTTCATTCCTCCAGAAGTATAATCAATAAACATTCAGCTAATATATCTTGTAACATATCGTTTTTTGTAATCCTTCTTAAATGAAAATTTGCGTAGTTTACAATCGATATTAGTTTACAATCGATATTTACATTCTAAGTAATGAAGCAACTTACAACCTAACAAATTTTAACACCCTGAACTGTTTACGCCTAGATAACACAATACCAAACACACACTGTATTTATCTTCTTTTAAAATTGCCAAATTCTACTCTGGGCATGCGCAGTAAACGAAATTCGTTTAACATTTATCAACTCAATGTGCGGTTTGCCATTACGGCCTCCCGTGCGCATCTCAATTTGCGCATATGCTGCCGCACTCTTCGTGAAATTCTGTTTCTTCTACGAAGTACAGTGTGGCTTGGGAAATTTGTGTATTGTTAGAATGGATGCATTTGTACTATGTATTTTGGATTACATCTGTATTACGTATCTGTATGTGATCACAGTGAATGCAGTTGAATGAATAAATCGGCATTTGTTAAAAAAAATTATACTTGGAGATAAAAAATAAAATTTTTGCTAATGCAAGTTATTGAGTAGTGTCTTTTTTCATTAAAAAAGTTTATTCCTTTTTAATTATGCATTAAATTAATTATATACAATAAATAATAATGAATTAATTAAGCATGCCTGTCTTCTGTAAATTATTGCTAGAACATGTGCAAATAATGAGGAAATATGCTACTTTGTGCTAGCTTAATTCTTAGCAGATAATCACAGGACGTGACAGAGAGTGTCTATTATTTTTTACTGAAATTTCTTTATTGATTATACTAAGCGTATCCGTTAAGGGGTGTTCGAAAGCTTATTTACGACACACATGAGCACATTCTGATGCACATGATAAAGTGAATGGTCAAAAAGCGATAAATGCTTGTTTTTTACAAAGAAAACACTCTTAAAACAAAAGGGTCAAAAAGCGATAAATGCTTGTTTTTTACAAAGAAAACACTCTTAAAACAAAAGAAATAATAAATATACTTTGTCACTTAGCAGCTTCACTTTTTTGCCTTCATCGCTTGCTTCAAATCTCGCACTTAGATCTTTAATTCCTTCTCCTAATTTTTCAAAATCTTCTGGAGTTTCATATTTATCAGGGGAACTAAGAATAAAAATTAATAACATTGATTCATCGTTTAAATAAAAGTTAATTATAAGTTTTGTGATACAGGAAATTTAGAATCTTTAAAAAAAAGTCATATTTTTGAAAAATAAAAAATATTTCATTTTTTTACTCTAAAGGGCGTCAGCCCAGAAGAGATATTAATTTCGTTTTGGCATTTTGCGTTGGTTCACATATTTGGTTCACATAATGTTGGTTCACTTTTCAATTATTGCCACCAATATGAGAGCCCTGATTATATTTAAAGAAATAAAATAATGATGATATGCATGAATGTATGTATGTTCCCTCGCTCTGCGAAACAAACGATCCTAGAGACTCAATCATAAGCTGTCCTCCACTATAATCGGGCATCGGAAACTCGAACTTTGAATTTGGAATTTGTTTATTACCTATTGTATATTCTGTAAATCTTTAACGAATTTGATTAAGAAACTGACGATTACAAACCTAACAATGGAACACTAAACAAAAAGAAAACAAAACAAAAATTTATCTCCAGCAGACTGGAATCCGAAACTAAAAATATGCTCATTTTAAAATTCTTTTGCGATAGGCTGTTGAATTGAATTTTGGTTTAAGTGCGATAAACTGATATTTAATAAATAAAGGTGACAAACAAAACGTTAAAAAAAGCCCCGTCGGACGTAATATAAAATCTAGGAGCTTTCAGATTTTTTTTTTTTTTTTTTTTTTTTTTTTTTTTTTTTTTTTTTTCGTTCTTTCTTTTTCTTCCAAATATTTTATGTCATGATTTATTGACTCGGTACAAACATTAAAATGGCAGGAGTAATGAAATTTGATTTTCCTACTTTTTTAGCCATGCGTACTTTAGTTGAACTGAAACTGCGGCATTTTCGCCTTTAAACTTTCAATGCATAAATGTCTAAAAAATATTTACAATTTAAATAGTATTATTTAACTCAGAACATTTTTCAAGCCTTAATAATTTTTAATATCATGAAAAAATAATTTTTTTATATCATGAAAGTTTTTTTAATTAATATTAAAATATTATATTTTTAATATTATTAAAAACTATTCAAAATTAATTATATTCATAAATTAATATAATTATAATTTCTGAATTTAATATTTTTTAATACTCCTCTCATCCATATTTACTAAAATATATGAACTTCTCCTTTCTTGAGGGCGTAATGTTTCTAGCTGCTTGGTATGCGCTTAAATTCATAAAAACTTTGTTGAACCATGTAGCGACTTATCGCTGAGTCCAAGTGGGTAAATGAAAAGTTCAGAGAAGGTTTAAACTCGACCTTTATTATTTCAAACTAAGATCACAAATGGCCCCTTTCTCGGGCTTACAGAAAAGCCTACTTGGGCCTTAACTCAAGGTAAGAAAATACAAAACTTCTGTAATGCTAAACTAAACTGAACTTAGACGAAGCAGTACAAAATTATCTAGCGTATTTGGACCTTAATTAAATTAACCGGTGAATATCAGCAGGCACATACAATAGACCGAACGGACGAGCTTAGTAATCCTAACCTCTTCTGATGAAGTAAGCGAAACTTTCATTTAAATACCCTTTCTGCCTCATTTACATGCAGCGCGATACTAGAAACATATTCTGGTAGGGAACAGTAGGTGAGGAACGAGAATAGACAGTCACTAGTATAAATAAAAAAATGTAGATTACAATGTACACTGGTTTTCCTAATTTTTTTTTTTTTATTTTTTTATTTTTTTTTTTTTTCCATGGCAGGATAAAATATTGTTTTTCATTAAGTAGTTAAATTAGAATTTTAATTAGAATAAAAGAAATGTAATGAGACTCTAATCAGAATAAAATAATTAATCTTTATGTCTGCAACTAATGCTATGATTACATTTTAATAATGATAATATTATGAGATAATGCTATGATTACATGTTAATAATGATAATATTATGAGATAATGCTTTGATTACATGTTAATAATGATAATATTATGAGATAATGCTATGATTACATGTTGTTTCTGCTGCTGAATAGGTTAATTTTCATTTGAAGCTTTACATTTTCAATCACTTGTATTTACTATATATAAAAATAATGTACAGAAACAACGCAATCTTCATTCATTTAAATACCTTTTCTCTTCTTTCTGGTTATGGTTGAAACATTCATTTTTCCTAGCCATATTTTATTCTGCGAATGTAATATTTAATACATGTAACATGCACACTCTATATTAACTACCTGTGTTCACGTAATTGTTAGGATTTCAGTTAACTGCTTTAATAGTTAAGCCTTTTAGCAGTGAAAAATAAACTATTACGACTAAACTAGTAGATCGGGCTTAACAAGTGAGGTATGTATATCGCATGTCGGTCAGTTCGCTATATTTTAAACGCAGGGACTGTTTGCTGCTTAATCCCAGAAAACTTGGAGTTAGTGTCTCAAACTCATACAGCAGTTCTTCAAATCCCTTTTACTCTGCATAAAAACAAGGAAGTAGACATTGGAACCTCTGAAAGAATGGCTAGCCCCCTCTCACTCGGGGTCTCTCTACATGAGTGAAGAATTTGATTTTAGTGAACCAATAACCATAGCTTTATCTCCCTTACAGAAATGGTATTGTGTACGTCATCCGCCCGGAACAAATAAGTATTTAAATCGGATCTTGAATATAACATCTCGAGCTCCTTAACTTCTGTATTATTCAAAGATTGTGATGTAGCCGTTCCTCAATAGACACTAATGCCGGTTAGCTTTAAAAGGATTTATTAACAGAGCACACAGAAACGATTACAAACAAAAGAAATGTACATAAAAATGAAATATATACCAAATGGAACATCAAACATTAGAATTACAGAGACATCTAGTACAGGGTAACCTATCAGTCATCGCGGTTGGAGGTCGACTGCCGTGTTTCCTCATATCGCCACGAGATCGCGTTTAAATAAAATAGTTGGGTTACAGTTCATGAAGTTCATGCGTGAATAAATAGGTTCAATTACAGTTAAATAGTTCTGTTACAGCCTCCTCCCCTCGGACTTCGTAGACGTCTCGGCAAGAAGTCAGGAACTGACATTTGTCTACTTTGTGCAGTAGGCGGAGAACAAGATGGACGGGCTAGAGTTTGACAAGCAGTAGATTTAGCGTCACCAGCACCTTGTGCAACAGGTGCAGATTCAGGTGGTATTACACGTTTGGGCGTCCTCTTTTCTTTAAGGGAACCACTGGAGTTACACGAGCTGAGTTGTCTGAAACTTATTTCGATCTTGATATGGTTTCAAGGCTGAAAACATTGATATTTTGCCGAGAATTTTGTCTGGTTCGTGAGGATCGCAATATCTCCCTTACAGAAATGGTATTGTGTACGTCATCCGCCCGGAACAAATAAGTATTTAAATCGGATCTTTATCTATCACATATCTTTTAGTGGTTGGAGATCTTGTAGTCACTATCACATAAGGACCATCTCTCTTGGGCATGAATTTAGCAGTTTTCTTCATTGGACCTTTGATGATTGGGTGGAGGGTGACCCAAGCTTTATCTCCAGGAACGAATTTCGGAGTTTCTCTTCGTTTTTTTGTCAGCATAACGTTTCTGTTTATCGTGATGCAATTCGACTCTTTTGCGTACGTGTTGTACATTTCTTGCAAAACTTTTCAAATATGGAGTAATTTCGGGAACAAAATTATCGTTCTCAATTACGGCTTTTATATCATGCTTTACATCTTCTAAGGTTCGTAACTCTCGTGCTAATTGAAGAAAAGCAGCAGAATGTCCAGTTGAATCACAGTTGGCTGTATTCAAAGCAAACCTTATTAATGGCAGTTTATCCTTCCATGACTGATGGTCGTTACCAACAAGTATTGCTAAACGCTGGTTTCAAGATCTCTATTCTTCTTTTTCAACTGGGTTAGATTGTGGGTGATAGACAGGAGTAAAGACTTTGATCAATGTTTCAAGATATAGCATAGTTGTTGCATAACAAGCACTAGTAAACTGGGTACCATTATCACTTATTATTTTCCTGGATAACCCAAATCGAAGGGCGACTTTTCCTCCAAAAGAATAGTGGCACATTCTCTGGCCGTGGCTTCCTTTTAAAGCAAATAGTTTCTGTCCACTTCGTGGCACAGTCCTGCACAATAAAAATCCATTTTTCACCAGACGGTGTTTCAGGAAGGGGACCGAAAAGATCAATTGACAAGGTCTCTAAAACGTTGAGCATAGGACTGGAGTTTGAAGTAAGCCAGATGGCTTTTGATTAGTGGGCTTTATAACGACAGCATTCGAGACAGCTTTTGACATATTCTGCTATATCCTTTTCTCATTCCAACCTAGTAGTATCTTTTTGCTATTCGATAAAATGTTCCTTCAGATCCATAGTGACCGGCCGTTGGCGAATCATGATATTCTTTCAAGATTTCTGCTTTTCTTTTTTGAGGTATAACTAGTTGAGCTTCTTCCTCTTCCGAATCAAAGGAATATCGGTACAAAACTCCTCTGTTCATAACGTCGACTCTTCCAGTCCAAGTTGCACAGTCTGCTTCTTTCTCTGGACTCTCAAAAGTTTCGATGATCTTTCAAAGATCATCATCTTCCAGCTGTGATTGCTGCTGGGCTAATAGTAGGGATTTCGACAGAGACAGCACACACTTGACAAGAATCTGTACTTGAGTGTTCACAAATAGGACGAGATCAGCAATAAAGTTCAATCGTCCAGGAATGTAATTGATAGTCAGATTGTAGGACTGGATTTGTAAGGCCCATCTTGCGAGCCTACCAGTTGGGGACTTTAAAGACATCAGCCACTTCAATGGTTGGTGGTCAGACGTGATTGTGATAGACTGGCTTTCAACATATCCTCTAAATTTGTTTGGAGTGCCCATACTACTGCTAAGGCTTCTTTTTCTATGGTGGAATAGTTTTCGTTCTGATGTCAGCAAGGCGGCTGGCATATTCTATAGGGTGGTTCTTCATTTTTCTCCCTTTGTAGCAACACTGCTCCAATGGCTA